GTAGGACATGATGTTTTGCTTGCTACCTCATTCTCGTGGCGGGGGTGTGTGCGTGTTTGAACAACCAAGAATGCTTTGAGCTTGGAGACTCAGTACAGCTGCTTTATGCACTGCTACTTGCACATCTAGGGAAAAGTAGGCTTGATTGAGTGCTTAAGTAAGTGTCATACTTTGTAAAGGCCTGATACAGAAATCCCTTCTGGGCAGGGAAAAGCTGTACCAGTTGAAGCAAAAATAGATGAGAAGGAGTGGACAGAGGGCTGAGAGTTACCACCCTTCATGCAGAGTTGTAGTTTGACACTGCCTTGTGGATGAGATCTCCGGTCTTACAAGGATGTGTTTTCTAGGTGCTGTTCTAATTGCTCTGAGCTTCCTGGCCAAGGGGGCTTGGCTGGTGAGCTCAGTAGTTAAGTATTTACACTGCCCACCTTCCAGTAGTGGTGAACTACTGCAGGCTTGATCCCTGATAGTTTTTATTCTTGAAAAATTGCTCCATTTGGCTAGGGTGGAGATCTGAAGGAGGAGAGGAGCTGTGGAAAGTCAAGGTTCAAGGAAAAGTCTGTCTAATGTACCTTAAGGTACAAATTTTAAAGTGAATTTGTATGCAGTTAGGTTGTGAGACCTGTGGAGCAAGAGGCTTGTTGGTACAAATGTGTTATTTCTTCAACTGCTGGGCTACAGCTAACCATGTACAGAAAAAAAACCACCCCAAACCCAAAAGACACCAAAGTAGTGTTGTAGTGTTTACTGGTTAAGCTTACTGGCTGGAATTAGGTAAAGATAGCTTCAGGAAGATGACTAAAAAGGCCCGTTTGTTGAGTGGCACTGCCTCTTGCTTACAGCGATCATGAGTGGCAGTAATATTTTGACTGTCTGTTAAGCTTGTGTCTGGAGTTAGTTGTGTTAAAGCAGTTGACTGGGGAGGTTGTGGGTTGCACTGGTTTGTTGATAAATGAAGATGGCAGTGAAATGTGACAAAGATAACTCAACCCTATGACTAGAGCAGAAGAGAGTGGGGTGTAATTTTGGTAGTCGAATAGCCATGTTGGAAGACCTTCCAAATACAGACAAGTGCCCAGGAGAGTAGTATTGCATTCTTTCCATGCTTCAGGTTTCTTTCCTCGCTGCAAGAGGAGGAAGATTTAAAATTTCCTATAAGGTTATCCTGAGGTAAAGTCTTACTTGAGAATTGTAAATAATGCAGTTTGACTTAGTCTTGGGTCACTGAGGTTCTAAGCACAGAAAAAAAAAAAATCATTGCCGTATGTACTCAGTTTAATGTTGCCACAGCATCTCAGGTAACTAGTATTTCCTTATTACTATTTAGATTGACTTATTCTACTTGCTGAGCCAGTTGCTTTGCTTGAATGGTACCAGCTTTCTGTAGTGTTATGGTGGTAGTATCTGGGCTGAGTAACTTTGGGCTGTTCATTCTTTGTCTGCTTTCTCCTTTAAATTCTTCATTTTGAGCTCCAAGCTGGCATTAAACTTAAACCTCTCTGTGGCTTTCTGCTGGACAGCTCTTGATGGAAAACATGGGTGTTACTGGCAAAGGCTTTGTCTAACTGCATAGTTTTAATGGTTTATTAGTGGAAAAAGGAACTTTCTTTTTGTAGTGTCAGAGTTGGGGTGGTGGGGAGAATAGATTTTTCTCTTGGCTTATCTTGTCTACATGTTGATGTTATGTCAGATGTAGCCTGCCTGTCTCCCTGAGTGCATGCCATAAGCCTAGTAGGAGGATTGGAGAAACCCCGTTTTGGAGGCTGTCCTTGCAATCCTTATCAAAACTTGGAGAAGCTCCAAACTAGCTCCAAACCTGTGCCATTGAGTTGTTAGTTTTGACTTCTACATGACTGTGCTTCTGTGGGAAGAGGTTATACTCAAAATCTCCATCCTAAATTGTTTGTATCTTTTAACATTTGCTGCCCCAAAACTATGGCATTTAAATTCTGCAGGAACAGAAGTGGACTACTGGGGCTGAGACTGTGGCTTTGTGTTTTCCAAAGCTTGTTAAAGATGTGGGGAGCACCTGTGCAGTTGATCTCAAACTTGATGGGATGTAGCAGCCATATGCTTCATTGCCTGGGAGGTTCATTTTTTTTGTCAGCTTGGGTCTTGGTTTTCTCAGGTGGTGTTTTTTCCGATTCCTCCTGTGAGGAAGAGAGGGAGTTGTCAGACTTCCTAAAGTGTGGAAAAGCTTTTATTTTATTTTTTTTTTAGCTAAAAATGTGCAAGTTAACCACCTGTTAGCTGGTAGATGCAAGCCAGCTTGACCCTTTCCTCTTAGCTTGCTATTACTGTTTTCCCCAGGATGCAAAGATATTTCTGGCTCTTCTCCCCATGTGTGTTTGGTGCCATAATGTGTAGTGGATCTTCTTTAGACTATGACGTGAATCTGTTCTTCTACAATGCACCATAATTTTTATCCTATACCTATGTATGTTTTAAAAATAAGGAACTTAGGGAGAAATCTGTTTAAATTAGTTTGCTTAAAAGATTTTCTGTGCTTGTAGGCAGAGGCTTAAACTCTTAAATGAAAACCACATAGAAGGATTTGAAACTTTGAGTGTTCCTTTCTCATGGCAATATGGCCAATTAATGATTTCTTGAATGTGTTGGGACTTGCCTGTGCACTAAGTTAATGAAAAAAGGCAATTCTGTGGTAGCGAACAGTCAGTCACACCCTCATGTAATCTGAATTTTCAAGTTTAAGCAAGTTCTGCATTTCCATTTTGAAAGCAATTAGGGGACTTCACCATGTTCTATCCAGTTCAACAGAAGAGTCTGCTTTTGAACATGGGTGCAGCTTCTGGAGTCCGGAAGCAAACCATGCAGCTAACTTGAAAGGTTCCAGCTAGAACATGGGAGCTGCTAAGTATCATTTACCTGCCCCTTCCCCAGTAGCTCCCTGCTAGTGAGGGAGTCGGTGCCATGCAGCCCTACTGTGTGAGAACTCTTCTGTTAGATGCTTGGAAGACTCCTCCTGTGTGTAATACTGCCTCATATAATGAGTGGCTGCAGCAAGGAGCAAGACCAGTGTATGATAGAGGGCAGGAGCCGATATTCAAAGGTATGGACAGCAAGGCTCAGGAGAGCTGCTGCACTTTTACAACTGCTTGAAAGTGGTCCTGGAGTGTGGTTGACAATTTTAGAATTTAGTCAGATCACTCTTGAAGTGACTTGAATCAAAATGATGAGAGTTTGGTATGTTCTTTAGACAGTTCAGGTCGGGGTAGTTGTCACAAGCAGTAAGCTATCACTGCACTAAAAAGCCCTAGGTACTGTGTGTGCACTTGCAGCTAATGCTTTCTTGCTGCTCTGGGGGTGAGGTTTTGCTGTTGAGGAGGGAGTTTAGTCTACAGGCACAAACAATCCCTTCTGGGTGTTGGTAAGATTTGCTGGGCAGTTGACTGAGGTGAGTCCCTGGATGTACAGAACCAGTTTTGATTGCTGTCAGCCAGCAGGGATTTGAACTGGTTGCCTGGAACAGAGGGATACTCTTTGGTGACTCCTTCTGCCTTATGAATAAGCAGTGCAAGCAGCTGTGACTTGTCTGGAAGCACTTGTAGGGTAAAGGAAGCTTAAGACCACAGGCTTTTCAGCTGCATCTCGATGCTGTGCTTGGTGGTGGTAAGATGTTGCAGTTTTGAAGTCTGGCCAAGGAGGATGGAGGTGAGATTGATCTGAAATAATCTGCTGTGCAAGGTGTTCTTTCTTTTCCAGGCTTAGGGTTCTGGTGTGCATCTCATCTGCTATCAGACTGGCTTTGTTTTAAGACCTTTGTGAAGGCCTTATTTGCTCAAACAGAAGGTATTTAGATTTGCTGCCCCAGTCCTTCCAGTTAGTGAACTTGTGCCTCCAGCTTCCTTCCAGTTGTTTGTTGAACCAGGTGTCTGCTCCACAGCCTTTTCCCTTGCTCTGAGCTTGACCTGCTTTCCTTGTGCTGGTGGGAAAAATAGGGCACACTTCTAGCTTTGGGTATTATTGGACAGGAAACAAAGACACTGGATTTTTATTACCCCCTCCTAAAAGAGCTCACCTGTGATGAGGAAGTGCTTCAGGAAGCAGTATCATGATGCTGGGAGCCCTGGTCTGTGGGAGGGTGGAGGGCAGGCCTGGGGTCTGTTCTCTTGATACCTGGGGAGATTGGTTTGGCTGCAGATGGGCTCCTAATGAAGCCCTTGGACAAGATTTTTTTTTCTGTGCTTGAACATAACAAAGCCTCAGACACACAGCCTGTAGGTTGGTTTTATTTTTGTGTGGGTTTTTTGTTTTGTTTTTTATTTGTTTTGTTTTTTTTTCCCCTGTTTATCATGAAAGCCAACAGGTTGTTTTGGAGATGATGCTGTGCCTGAGTGGCAGCCAAGTTTGACCTGGCCTAGGTTCTCTGCACACCATGGGCACTATTATTTGAGCTGCATGTAGACTATACCAGTGCTGTTTCCTGGACGTGTGTGTGGTTGGGATATAACAATTCAGTCTGGAAACAACTTGAGCTGTTAGTTTTTGAAAACTGCTCATTTTACATTCCCGTAGCCTAGTGTTAGTGCTGTATCTTGCTGGCCAGCTGATGGCATTGATTGCTGAAGGCCAACAATCAAAACAGGATCCAGACCTCTTCCTGCTTTCACTGCTTAAAGTAGATGCATTTTCCTGGTGACCTGCTTCAGGATTTTGTCTCCACCATTGTGGGTAGATAGTGATGGTGGTAGTTGCAATAATATTGGTTAATAATCAGCTGTTACTGAAGCCCCAGATTTGTGGTCTGTCACTAAAGCTTCTAGGGAACTGATGGGTAACTGTTGTTGTAAAGAATAGACAGAGATTTTTGTCCTGACCTACCTTGTCTGAATCCTAAAAATAGAACAATGCTGCTCGTATGCAGCTTGTCACAGCTTCACAGCTGTATATGAATAACCTATTTTGTGACATGCTTTCGATCTTTTTTTTGCTCCAGTCTTAATTTAACCTATAATACTGTTCTTCTTCGTTTCTTTCAGAATGGACTGCTGAATTTGGAATTATTGCAGACTCAACAGTACAGCACAGCTCATTGTTTCGTCTATTACTAGTTATTTAAATTGGACTTTTAATATCCTGCCAGCTGCTGTTCACACACACATGGTGCATTGTTGCCATTCTCAGAATTGCATCTTTGAAACCCAGACCCTCAGTAACCTTCATCGAACAAAGAGGCGACCTCCTGCGTACATTCATAGAGGGATTTTTCGAACCTGCTGCCCTCTAGCTTTCTTGCTGGTGCTGTATTTGTGAGACACCATGGAGCCCACTATGGAGTACTGCTTAGCACAGGTGCTGCAGAAAGATGTTGGAAAGAGACTTCAGGTTGGCCAGGAATTGATAGATTACTTCTCAGATAAACAGAAGTCAGCTGATCTTGAACATGATCAGACTATGCTGGATAAAATGGTTGATGGACTGGCCACTTCTTGGGTCAATTCCAGCAATTATAAGGTAAGACTTGTCAAATGGAATGTTGTTGCAGTCAGAGCAGTGTAAAGTGCTGCCTGATCTAAGTGGAAGTTGCAGGGTAGACTTCCTAATATACTGTTCTTTAAGCTAATAATTATGCTGACTCAACCATTCTTGGCCCATTTCTTGGTAATTGATAGCCAATATGATATTGAGGACTCAAGGCAGTAAGAATTAAGTAAATGGGGTTTTAATAAGTGGGTTTACATGTGGTGGTTTTACGTTGGTATTCTGGTTTCTTTGTGTATCTTACTAGCTGATGGCATGCTTTGATTATCCCATAGTTAGCAATGTTGATGATTTCCTGCCTTATTAAGGAATTTAGTAAAACTGCAAAAAGCATTTATAAACAGCAGTATTTTTCACTGTCATTAAATCCTGCTGGGTTTAAAAGTGCTCTGGACTTCAACATCCTCAGATTAATTTAAACTCTTAACAGGAATTTTGATTGAGAGGTAGTTGTGAGTTTGCATTGTATTGGTCAGTGTGTTCTGCACAGCTGTATTTTCTCGTCATTTCTGTCAACAGACAGCTGTGGTAGAAGCTATTTGGCACATGGGAACAACAAAAACCCACAGAAAAAACCCCAGCAAACCGCCAAAGCCAATACAGTCTCAATAGAGGATCCATGTTCTTATTCCTCCTTTTCTTGCAGACTGGCACTCTTGCAAACTTCCATGATTCTCTGTGGAATGGTAACCCAAGCACAGCAAATTTGAAATTGTTAGGAAATGTGGTGTTTGCATGTATTTTATGATGTGGATTGCAGAGCTATGCAGCACTTTGTAATTTCAGTATCACACTTAGTTTGCAGAATTTCTTTCTGGATAACTTGTCTCTCTTCCTACCCTCTTTCCCAGTCTTTTACACACTTAGTATTCACTGTGGTATTCACTTCAGTAACAAACTGATGGCACTTCTGTACTGCAGTGGCTGTTCCAGAGCTCATGCTGCTGAGCTGGCTGTTCATTAATGTGAATGTTCTATAGATAGCGTTTGCTGTGTTTAATAGGTTCTGGTAAGCATAATGGAGACACAGCTTGGATGTCTGGAGGGTGTTTTCTCAGTGAATGAGTGTAATGGAGGATGTGAAATATTTGAGTAGGGCAAGCTGATTATCTGGAGGTTAGTGATGTGGTGAGGTCTGCTTACAGTATCTAGCCAAGGCTTAGTGCATCATCATATGCCAATCTCTTGCTTTTGTGTTAGTGCCTGCATCTGCATTATTGTTGGCTTTCTTATGGGATAGGGATTCCGGAGCTCAGCTCTGTCTGGTGTGAGGGAGAACAGGGTAGCTTGTGTTACCTGATCCAGTTCATGGATTAATTTAACAGCTTTGAGAGTGAAAGGCTGAGCATCACTGCCCTAGTATAGCCATTTGGAGAGCTAAACTACAGTTTTTTGGTCACAGTTGAAAAAGCCATTATATTTGCAGTCTGTTTCTCTGCTCACCTCGCTCCATTTGAGAAAGTGTCAGCCTAAAACAAAGCTTGAGATCATCTGCACAATGTGAAATTTCCTAACTCTACAGTCATAAAGTGTATGCTCTTGGAATTAGACTGGATTTAGATAAGAGACCCATTATCTTGGAACAGCATCAAGTTGATTCATGGCTCCTGCCTGTCTAGGGCTCTTCTAACTAAGCACTTATGCTTATATGTTATCACTGAAGAAGCATCAGCGAGAACCGAGGAGCAGTGATCTCTTGAGGCAATCCAGTTTAGTGTCTTATTAAAAGGAGCCTCAACTGATGATGAAATGACTCTGTCTTTACAGGGAGGGTTCAGGCTGTCTCCCTTACTGGCATACAAGTGTGAGCTATGTAAGTTGTGACCATCACTGACATTTTTAGGCTTTGGTGTTTTTTTTGTACAGTATTTCTTATTTTAACCTGACACTATTTTATGAAGTCTTTGACTTCATCCCTGGGAATGCAGGCTATTTTCTCTTTCAGCTGAAGAAACAAAAAAGCAATGATGGAGGGGGAAAGAAGTGCTTCTCTTTCCTTGTTGCTGTCCAAATCTGCAAAAACATAGTGTGTGAAACAGTGACACCTGATGTACTTCTCATAGCACTAGGCACTCCAAAACTCCTCTAAGAAGTGGTCTTGAGACCTGGTCGCTGATCTCTGCTTTGTAACAGGCAGCTGACTTAGGTGAAGAAGGCACGGAATGTTTTTCAAGTCAAGGAAGCATAAAGGTTGCTGTATGGAGCAAGGAACTGAGGTCCAGCGCAAGGCCATCTGCGTATCTGTGCTTGCAAGGACCAGGCTTGAACTGCACCCAATGGGCAGTGGTCTGGCCTGTGATTTCCCAGCAGTACTTGTAGGTGGGTGGAAGACAGAAGAATGCTGCAGAGAGAAAATTAATTTTCTGAGAGCTCTTGCTCCTCTCTGGAGCTCAGTTACTTGCCACATACAGCCTGTGTTTGCATGGGTACTAGGGGTTGTGGGATATACTAGCAAGGTTGGGCTGGGGAAGATATTGCAGGTTGCTGCAGACCAAATCCTGCCTCTTCCATTTCTTCATGTGCTTTGTTTGGTCTGTGCTGTTTCAGGATGGTGGTTCTGCTTGACTCCATTTCTTCCTCTGCTAAGCTTTGGCTTGCACTGAGCTGTCTCTTGAGACATGAAGCAAAACAATACAGCAATGTTAGGGGCTTCAGCATGTCCTCATGCTTGACAATCCTATAGCAAAGGGTCAGAGCTGAAATAGTCAGTAGTACTTAGTGAACAATCTCACTTTGAGGTGCTTGTGGCATTATTTTGAAATGTTAAGTATGCAGGATCTCCTGACTCATTGGTGATCAGTGCATCTTTTTAGGATGTGCCATTCATTAATTTTTCATTTTGAGGTATAGTATAAAGGAGTATGTCCAGGATCTCAAAGTAGTTTTCTACTAGCCTGGTGTTCCTAGAGGTGAACTGAGGATGTTTGGTAGTGGCCTCCTCTTGCCTGCTTCTCCACATCAAGTGAGTATTGTACTGTTGCACCCATCTAGCAGTGGGGATATGAGATATCTTGCACCTTTCTTTTCCCTGTGGTGTGGCCTGTGCTATTGGAGTTGAGGTTTTCACTGGAAATAACTGTTGGTATTGCTGGTTTGCTTTTGACTAGCAACACCCAAGGGTGAACTCAGAGATTTGGTAGTGACAGCCTTTGAGCAGGTCAGGGTCCATCAAATTGAAGAGATGTCCTACTTAAGACTTTCTTATAAATACCACAGTGATAGGAGAGACCAGTTTGAAGTGAAACCGAGTGGAATAAAACTTTTGGTGTGCTTTCCTGCACTTGGGCAAGTAGTGATTATTTTTGGTGCTGCACTATTCTCGCTCCACAGGCTGTGCTTGCCAAGGAGAATAGCTCACCCTTGTGTGGGATGATCCCTTTGCCCCAGTGCAGCTTGGTCTGTGTGAGGTGCTGTGCCCAGCAGCTTGCAGGACTGGGCTTTGCCTATCAAAGGGGAGTTAGGGATTGCAGTGGTTAACAGACCCAGGTGGCTGAGGATGCTTCCGCTTGTGAAGGCCTGGCTGAGCAAGTGATGCTGTGCTGGCAGACCCAGTCTGTCAGGGTGAGAGCTGTGCATGCAGGGTTGTGTCATGTGTACAGGACTTCAGATCAGACTTGTTTAGCTCATAGCTGATCTTGTTACTTAGAGGTTGCACTCTTTAAAATGCATTGTGAGGTATTGTGGAGAAATCTGTGTGGTGAAATATTGCAGGGAAATTTTATTTTCCCTGAGAGAACTCCTAATAGCGTTAGAGACAGCAGCCTTGCATTCTGAACTGTTTCTGAATATCAAGCATTACAAGAGCATGCTTGACTGAGCTGAAGAGAAGTAGAACTTACATGCATAAATTAGCTGGCTTTTTTAAACTGTGTATTGAATAATTTTTTTTGGCTTTGCTAATTGAGGGGTAGAACAGATGGTGCAGGCTTAGTTTAAAGTGACATCCATTAGAGTTACTTAAGCTGATGAATAGCTGTTCACTATAAGCACACATTTGTTCTCTATTCCATGTTTATTTTGGTTTAAATTTGGTAGATGAAAACCTGATTTAAGAAATAATTATGATGCATGGGTATGGGTTGATATGGTAATTGGGTAAGTGTGTTTCGACTATTTAATGCACCAGAGGGGGAAAAAAAAACCAAACAAAAAGACTTCATCTGAGGAAGAAGAGACTAACAAAAGGTTTCCAAGTAGCGTCCATTAGCTGGTGAGTTTTAGGATGCAGAGAATACGTGAGGATCAGTAATATGTACATTTAGCAGTTTCATCCCTGAAAACCTCTTTACCATGAAGCTGTAATTGCTAATAAAATTGAATTAAATTAGTTTTGATGCGCAGAAGATCTGAGAAATGAACTATGGAGGAAGAGTGATCTTGAGATCTGGACTTGAGTAGAGCCTATTGTTTGTATATGCCCTTATTGCAAACACCTTGGTAGAAACTGCTTCTGACAACTCCTTTTGTGGGAAGAGAAGCTATCTTAGGAAAGGCTAAAATCTCACTGGGTTTGAAACTGCATTTGCAGAGCATTCTCTGCCATTGATTTTCAGGCTTCTCTGCTGGCATGCTCCTTATTAATAGGTGGGTTTTCCTGCCTTCAGCTTAAGAAAGATCTGAGTTTTGGCTTCAGATATCCAGTTTCCTATAGACATTGATGTTAATTCCAAGTTCAGCTGATCTGTTGTTTTTTTTTCTCTGGCTGGTAGCTGAGCCTGCCTTTCCAATACTTAGTGCTCTGTGTGGTAGTTTGATCAGATTATGGTGCAGCTCTTATCTATTTGGTATCAGCAGTATGGGGAGTGTTACAGAAGATGCAAGGCAGAATAAGAGATTTGTAGCAGTTGGGCTAGATCAAACTTAGTACCAGCTTCAGTCCTTCATATTCAGGATAGGGAAAAAAAAAAGAATAAACTGCTGTAGCAAGTCAGCATTTAGAGTTTTCTTGTGGCTTTTTATTAACTCGTAGAAGG